ATATATATATAGTTTTGCTGCTGCTCTACACGAATATATATATATATATATAGTTTTGCTGCTGCTCTACACGACACAAAGCTAAAGTTTGATGAGCTCAGCTCAGCTCGCACAGTTTGTAGCAAAAACTTACCAATTATCGTGGCGAAAACTGTGAAGCTTCGCGGAAAAGAGTCCTGCCTTTCAGTCTGCTGCCCCAGCTTTGGCATGTAAAGTAAAAAATAAAAAAAAACAGGCGAAGATACAATAACAAGAACAACAGCTCTCGTTAAGAAGTAATCCAAAACAGTCGAATATCCTCAGCAGCTCCTCGAGGAAAAGTCTTTGTGTTCCAGCGCGCGACCTGACCTCACGCGCCGACAGGAACGTGCCCGGCGTCTTTTCTCGGCGATAATAGCGTAGCCGGGAAGGTGAGTCTCCCTCTTTAACCGGCTCCCGTCTATGGGTGGAGAGTAGTGTTCTTGTTGTGTCAACTTGTGATTTAAGGTGGCGTCGCTTCCCCCCTCCTCCTCCTGCTGCTGCCACCTCCAATAAAAGCCGCGGCGTCGCCGGGAAAGGAACGCACGCACACACGAATCCCGCAAAGAGGCTACCCAGAGTTGGTGGAAAGACGAGCCGGTGCTGACAGGACCTTTAATCACCCCCAGAGACACTGATAGGTCAAAATTTACTGACCTGCCACCTTAACAAGAACTCAATGAAAAGAATGTCTTCCTGTCAGGGATGTTGCCAGGTGTTTTTTTTTTTTTTTTTTTTTTTCATGACATAAAAATGTCGCCTGGCAACCAGGCAGGTAAACAGGCTCCCTGGATACTGGCCCTGTTCACACAGGTAAACAAAAACTCTGCTGACATATTTCCCSAGTGTTACCTAACAAACAAACACATGTACAATTTATACCTGGATAACATCTAATTGTTTGTACAGATGTTTACTATTTATACTATTGAGCCTATTTTTCATAATATATGCCAACAAGTCTTTTTACCTGGTTAGTGTTATTGGTGTGGTGCTTCTAAACCAGGGGTTCTCAAACGTTTTGTGTCTGGGGACCCCTTACAAGGGTGTAAAAGCTCCAGGGACCCCCTTATAAACCACATGCTATTTTAAAAACAGTTTACTGTCATTTTACCTTCTAAATAGCATGGGAATATTGTGTTTTGTTTGGTTTAGTGTGTTTGTTTTACTACTGCATTGTTTCCCATATGCATTTTTTTAAATAAAAATCAAATGAACAATTAATTGAAAAGTTTTGATAGGAATGCACGATATACAGTATCAACATTCATATCAGTATCGGCTGATATTGGTCATTTTTTAGAATATCGGTATCGGCCCGATATGTAAAACTGGGCCGATATTAACATCAGACATTAGTTTCCCACTTTTTATCTTTGTGTTTCTGTTTTGGGAGGGGAGATGGTTGGTTGAGCAATATCTGTTTGATCAAGATGGTGATATTTATGCTGCGTAGCCAGGAATAACTGAAGTAYGGAGCCATGTCAGAGGTCTGGTTGTTTATTTACYGTATCAAGAAAAGACCCAAGTATGTTTGTGCATATATGTATAATATAAATTGTTTGTTTGTGTAATATCGGTAAAAATCGTTATCGACCATAATAGCATTAATTATATCGGACATCGATATCAGCTGAAATTTTATTATCAGTGCATCCCTAATTTTTGAGGACCCCKCAAGACACGGCTCGCGGACCCCCCTGAGGTGTTTGAGAACCTCTGTTCTAAACTAGCTTGTAAGATCAGTTTATTGAATTTTAGAAAGTCTAATTTAAATAATTTATCAGGGATATTTCTTGGGTAGCACAGACGTCACGGTTCCAGCGAGAGAAGTTTACTTTCAGATATAATTGCATGCATTCAGGTTATTTGTCCGTACAAATGAATTACATAAACTGTATCCAACAACAAAGTGTGGCTTGTCAGCTGCCAGGGCGTGGTGAGTTAGGAGGCAGGGACGCAGACTGAACAACTGGCAGAACAAACATAAAGAATTTATTCAGAAAATAAGCTGACAAAGAAGCAAAACAAGACACAAAGAGCACCAAGGAACCAGGTGGGAGAACAAACAACAGGACCCTGATGAGAACGTGAGAACCAGATGTTTTAGGCTGGGAGGAGGGAAGACTGGAAGCAGGTGAGGATGGCCAATTCAGGGCAGGAATGATTGAGGAAAAATGTCTGATAACACAGGAAGACACTGGTAAACAAATTAAACACAAGATGTTGCTGAATAAACAAGGAGCCAACCAAAGGGAGGAACAACATGAGAAAATGAACTAAATCAGCACTGGACAGTTAGAGACTGAAGTTCTGTGCAGATGTTTCTAACTTTCACTGTTGTACAAAATGGACTAAATGATATTGGCTTTCAAATAGGGTGGCATGATAAAGAAAAGCACCAGCTCCCTGTGACACTGACAGGATGTAGGGCAGGGRTGTCAAACTCATTCTCACAAGGGTCCCTGGAGCAAAGCACCCCAAGGACTCGTTGTCATTAACTTTGGCGTTTCATATTTAACTTTGACTAAGAACGTGAAACGTTCCTCGTCTACAGCTGAACACCACTAACAGCCAATAATTAAGCTCTATGTGGGTTTTCTTGCATAGAAACAGCGTTTTAACATGTCTTTGTATAAACACTGAAAAACCACAAAGCGTGAAACAAATAACACAGAAATACTTCTAAAAGTAAGAGAGTTTTACACACTGTGGAGTTGTAATAAGCAGCCGCCTTCTTGAATTCTGAACTCTTCCACTTTCCGATGCTTAAATGTACGCAGTTCAAATGTACAACTTATAAGGGGGAAAGTCCAAATTCCCAGTATAGCTGGGTTGCAGCAAAAGTAGCCAGCCAAAATGCAGTGAAATGGAGATTTTGCCAGGCGAATCTCACCGGCTACTTTCTGTGCACCTCTATCTAGTTGCCGTCATTTTGTGGGTAAACTAATCGACACGCATTATGGGAGYTGTACTTTACTGTCAATGRTYGCTTTAAGGCAGCTCATTTTAAGATATTAYTATTTAAAGCTCTTGCGGGCCACACAAAATGCTGTGGCAGGCCACATTAAGCCCACGGGCCTTGACTTTGACACATGTGACGTAGGGGGATAAATGATTAGACTTGAATGTAAAGTTAGCTTCCAAGTCAAGAGGTAGTAATTGAAGTTTTTGTTTATATGACACAGCTATTTKCTATATCCCAAGTACGTGTTATTTCATGAAAGGTTGAAATGGAAGCAAAGACAGACTGTTTCAACACTGTTTACCTTCATGCATTTCATAACTGTGATTATTCCTGCATAGGGTTCAGCTCAGGGACAAAGGACTTGCTGTTGTGCAACATGTGACAGAAGAAAAGGGCCTGACTCTGCCCCAAAATGCCAACATTGAAGCAGCTCAGAACTGTTCTTCCCTCGCTGCCCGCAGGACCAGCACAGACTGTCTGTCTGATAACAGAACCACACTCCTCCCATCTTTGCAGGGGACACTGTGCCCCACCGGCATGTTATCACCCTGCCTGAGAACTGAATCATCCTCCTGTGTGTGTGTGTGTGTGTGTGTGTGTGTGTGTGTGTGTGTGTGTGTGTGTGTGTGTGTGTGTGTGT